TAAACTGAAATGAAAAAAATAAATAAAAAATAAAATTAACAGATGTAAAGACTAAGGGATCATTTCAAAGTTACTTCTCCAAATCTCAAATGATTACAATTATTTTTTAGAACTCTCTTTCGGGTTATTTATTTGCCATTTTTATAATTCAAACATTCTTCTTCATAGATAATAATTCAACTCTTACTATTCCCTCCATTTACAGTCTGCTCATAAAATCAGAGGACACAAAGAAGAACGACACTATTTGTTGTTCGAAACAACAATGTAAAATGTGGAATGGCAGCGACAGCAGAGAAGCAGTTCTGTCTGCATGACTTTATGGCTTTGGAATTCTCCTGTCATGAGCTGGCTGACACAAAAAATAACTGCAAGGGGACTAGTATTTATTAAGCATTGCCTCTGTGCCGGGCGCCATGTTTTGCATACATTACTCAGGCTTAGCATATGGTACTGAGTCCTCATACGAAACTCTCAATGGCAGATGTGATCCATCTCTTCTCAGAGACTAAGAGTCAGAGGCTTAGAGGAAAAGCTTGCTCTTGGTCACACAGGCCTAAACTAGGGATCAAATCCAAATTTTCTGACTCTAAAGCTTCTGCTTTTCCCATTAACTATGCTGTATCTAATTCTAAGGAGGTGGATATTCTTCTGAAGAAGAAGTAAATAAAACAAGCTGACACTCAGCAAGACTGCCTGAAGGAGAAGATAGTGCATGGCTAATATGTGCATTCATACTTGTAAATGAGGCCAGGCTCATTGCCCTTGAGGTACAAATAAAACTTTTCAAGCATATTATGAGAAGTAATAGAGATTCTAGCAGATAAGCAAGCCAAAAGACCAGTTCCAATCATTCTCTTTTCAGTTTCAATCTATTTTCAGGCTGAGTCCACACTGTGTGTACACACACACACACACACACAATACAGCTACAGGGTAGCACTTTTCCAAGTATTGAAGCAGGCAGGCCAAACAAAATGCCCAACCTACATCTAAACAAAATTTAATGTCCACACTTGTGAATATTATTAGCATAATTGTTTCACAAAACATTTTAAAGCAATGTCATGCAAAGAATATTTTGAGGAATAAGATATTCATGGGGGTCTTATGAATAAAAGTAGGGGAAAGTTGAGTAGTGCTAGGTTAAAAAGAGTAAAACTGGTCTCATTACTGAAGAGTTCTTCAGCGCATTGAAAATGCCAATATATACTGTACATTTCCTAGGAGAGAAATGCGATATAGTGCTTTTCAGTCTTATTTAATCAAGGGCCATTGTTTTTGAGGAGCATCTCACTCCCAGAAATGGTATTTTAATGAATATGCTTTGAGAAAACCCTGTATTAAAGAATTATAAAATTATCAAGTTACTACTATTTGATAATCACATACTATATCCAACTCATATGATGGAATAAAAATAGATGAGGTTACTATCATTTATCTCCATAGACCTCATGATTAATGATAGATATGAGCTATTAAAACATAAAAATAAAATCAAGTCCAAAAGTAAATGTTAAGTTGCTACTGTGTGGTTTGAACGGAAAATACTGTAGTAGTTCAGGGAGAAGAAGGATCTCTGGGGGTATGGCGTGGTACCTTTCAACAAAGGGAAAGAGAAAGGCTGAAAATTGGTGGCAGTGATGGAGGGGACTTCAGGCAATGGAAGGGTCAACAAAGGAATAGGTAAGAAAGTACACTGTACTTTCTTCCAGTATTTGGAAGCAATACTGCAGGTGCGTGAGAAGAGAAAGCCCATGTTGAAAGAGTTATTTGACGTCAAATTCTGAATGATCTAGATTGCACACAGATTTTGTTATATTTCTTTCTTCCTTAAATTCCCAATTTCTCTCATTTTCCATGATCCAGATTTAACATCCTCCCCATCATCACACATTCAGTGCCCTCAGTATTCATTTCAGGCGTCCGAATACATTTTTAAAACCTAAGCTTTCATATAAGCTGATATTCCTATTTCCTCAGTGCAGTTAAATGTCAATATTCCCACCAACATTTTGATAGCTTGTCTATACAGGCTAATTCAGCAAAGTGGGCAAACAGTTCAGACATTCTTTAGGGAAATCAAACTAATACTCATAAGAAGATCCTACAATTTTGGGGTGAGCTATTTTAAAAGAAATCTTGCAAAAGAAAATCTGTACAATGGGATCCTAGCCACAAGATGTCCTGATCCTAATCAGGCAAGGTTAAATGTCTTAAGATCCTAGCCACCAACACTTATCCACTTAAGGATATCACTTAACTTCTTTGAAACTCAGTTATCTTATTTGCAATAATGAAATAATAACATTGACATTCAGAGATATTCACAGGATTCAAAATAATTCATGCA